ATTCTAAAAGATTTAAGAGTAGCTGATTGAAAGCTATGTGAATAGTTTGTTATTTTTTGATTATTATTAATAAATAACCAAGTAGCATTCCAATTAATGTATGGTGTGTTTGGAGTCTATTGTTGAAAACGATTTTGTGAAGACCAGAGAGCATAAATCTGTGCATAACAGATTGTATAAATACATTGTCTAATAGGCAATTCAATTGAAAAATTATCAAATTGAGAGTATACTTCAGATTGTATATATTTTGAAAATTAAATTCTATGAATGGTGCAGTAGAATAACTTTGATCAAGTTGATCAGCAAGGTTGTTAAATTCATCATTTTGGTGTGCATTAACTTTGTAAAAAGTAACTTGTAATTTGTATGAGTTAATGAAAATATTTAAATATTTGTATTTAGACTAGTTCAAATATACAAACAATTGAGCCAAATAATCAAGATGAAGAAGATCAAACAATTGAATTGAATTATCAAAATAATGAAAATCCGGTAGTACTTTTTTTTTTTTTTGTTATATAAATACTAACTAAATTTATATTTTTAGAATGAGCAAATTATACAAATTATTAAACAAAGAGGCCAAGATGCTGAAAACCCGATAATGCAAATATAGATTTTTTTGTTTGATTTATATAAGTTGAAAATTTTTAATTTTTTTAATCATACTTTTTTTTTAGATTAATCATGATTTTCAAACTCACATACCATTATTAAATATTCAAATTAATTCTATTTCTCCAACTGATCCTGGTATTTATGGTTCTGGAAACTCTTATCCTAATGCATTCAAAAAAATTTTGACAATTGAAAGCTGTCAACTCTTGAAACAGAAAAAGAAAAAATCGCAAATTATTAATAATTATTACATTACAGCTAATATTGTGATTCTTAAATAAATGTCGCAGATTAAAATGAAATCTGATCAAAATGAAACTAGGAACCTCTCATACCCACCCTTAGAGCCTATAAAACTCACATATACACATTTATTAATAAACCTAACCCTAAACCCTACCTCTAATGCTAAAAAGAATCCCAAAAAATGTCTCCCAAAAAATTTTAAATTTTCTTTAAAAAACAGAAAAATTTCGTTTTGATCAGATTTCGTTTTAATCTGTAACATAAATTAATCTGTATCATATATATATGTAATATAATCAGTATTACACACATAATTTGATTTAATAAAGTTTAAATTTTGATACGTATTATTGAAATTTTTAAGTAAAAAATAATTATATTATTAACTAATGCAAATCATAATGGCCTGAAGGATAATTAAAATTACAATTAAAACTTTTGCTTAATAATCAAAATTACAATTAAATGCCTTTATCTAATAATAATTATCAAGTATTTTTACTCAGTAATCAAAGTTTTAATCAAGTATATTTGCACAGTAATCAAAGTTATAGTAAGTATTTTTATTCAATAAGCAATGTTAATTCTTTATACTATAATTCAATATTATAGTCTAATAATCAAGAATATGTAGTTTAGTACTTTTATTTAATATCTTTGCTAGTAGTTTAGTGTCTTTATCTACTGATTATATTAATTTTTTAAACCTTTATTTGAGAATTGTATTGATTGACAAGAGTTTTTGTCTAATAGCTGTAGTAAGTTTTGTGCTTTATCTGATAATTGTTATTAATTAGAATATAATACTAATTATCACATTTTTAGCTCTTGTTGATATTACTAACAATTACTTGAATTTTAATCATTATAATATTATACAAGAATCTATATACTAGAATCTTGACAAGATAATACAACAAATATTATAAAAAAAAAGCTTATTAATATTCAAGTTAATGATTTTGTAAATTAAACATTCTAAAGATCAATTAATTCGATATTAATTGTCTTACTCTTTTCTGTAAGGCTTTGAAAAAAATTGGTTAAGATTAGTATTGACTTAGATATAAATCTAATATAATTAGTGTATATTACACTTCAGATGAACTTAAAATAGTTAGAACTATCACTTATCCTAAGCTTAATAATATTTTATTAAATCAAATATTGATTCATATAACAGCAAGACTGCAAAGTATGAGAACTACATCAGGTTCTATCAGTAGTTTATGTAATAATAAGTGGTACAAGTGTAAAAAAAAGTATTTAAAATATACAAACCATTGTTATAGTAGGTGATCATGTTTAAATAAAGATTAATATAGTATACTGTATAAAAGTTTATATTTTTTGCATGTATTAAATAATTTATTATATATTTAAATATTAAATTGCTAAGGATGTAGCAACTTAGTGAAGAGATCAAGTTGTCACCCTCAAGTGGCACATCCATAGTCAATTCCTATCGACAATAAAAAATTGAATTCTTTTGTATAATATTAACTATTTTGATCAGATTTCATTTTAATCTGCGACATTTATTTAAGAATCACAATATTAGCTGTAATGTAATAATTATTAA